GGTCTCCAACTTCCTCACCCCTAAAATCAGGAGTCCTTCCTTCTGGCTTCAGTACCACCCGCCCCCTCCCTCCAGTCTCGCAAGGAGACAAGCACTTGGGGTTCATTGGGTCCCCAAGTTTCTCCTGGAGGAAACTTAAGATCATGTTGTAATCATTGTTTTTCTTTCTTTCTTTCTTACAGCAATAGGCGAATATGAAGACCTTAGAGCGGAGAACCAGAAGACAAAGGAGACGGTTCGTACTGACTTTTTCCCTTGTTTCATTTTCATTTCTTATTTGTGTCAAAGCCCACTGGGCACAGGGTACTCTTCTGCCACCAGTCTCATTGAAATAAGAATGAGATCTTTTTTGTCTTTGGTTTGGGGGGCTTGTTGCTGGTTGCCCCTTTTTCTCTTGCCTGTGTGGTTCAAGCTAATATCGACTTTAGGTCCCAGATGGCAAAGACCAGTAGACCTGCCCAGTGGGTGCCGCTCTGAGAGATGAACTCCATAGCTAAAGGCAGCAAGGCACCGAGCCAGGCCACTGAAGACCCAAGAGTTGCACACCCCCTTCCAGCAGTCAGATCTGAGATTCTGGTGATGGGATTGGGGGTTTGCGATATTTAGCTTTAGGACTTAGGCCTTCTGGATTCTATAAAGACCTCTTGGGAGTCACTGATGTATAACCTAGATGTCCCCATGCCTCTTTATCTCTGTGAGTCACGTACTGGAAGTTAAAAACTATACCCAATAATGTTGAGGAAGTCCAGTGAATATCCCAGGAGCTCAGCCACTCTTGTTTTTCAACTGCTGAAGAATTCTCTACCATGACATATTGTATGTTGCTGCCTTTGAAAGGTTAGGGACATTGGTTTATGAGTTTGAGTGTGTGTGCACATTTTATTTTGTACCCCTGCAAGTTTAGGGAAGGGACAAATGGAAGAGCAATAATTACAGGGCTACTGACTTGGGAAAAGGAGTCCCTGGGTCGTACACATGGTCAAACACCTGGCTCCTCCCTGAGAGGTTGGTGGTTCAAATCTGCCCCAGGTCCCTTGGAAGAACTTCTGAACTTCTGGAAGATTGCCGCCTTTGAAAATCCCACGGAGCCCAGTTCTACTCTGATAACGCAAGGACAGCTTCTCTTTTCCTGATTTAACAAAAGGTAGTGTTGTCAGGTGCCCTGGAGTTGATTTCGACCCACAGCGAAGCTATGAGGTGAAGTTTTTTCAGGCTGTGAACTTCTGTACCTTGGAGGAGATCTATGGGGTCTTTCTCCCCCAGGGCCCTGGGCTGGGTTCAAACCTCCAACCTTTCATGTAGCATCTGATCACCTAATCCGTTGTGCCACCAGGGCTCCTTTCTTGGGAAAAAGTTGAGGGTTTGAATAGGAAGTGAAAAGCTGGATTGGCCTGGCCGAGTATCTCTCTCTTCGACAAGCGTACCCTGGGTGACAGTGATGGAGAGAGCTAAGTGGCAGCCTGGGCTTCCCCAAGTCACCAAGGCCGCGTGTGCATGCAGGGTAGACCTGTCCCTCTTCTAGAAATTGTACCCGAGCATCCACTTGCGTTCTTCCATTTGTGCCATTCCTTCAGATAAGGTCATTTGATACCCAGCTGTTGTCTCAGAGATCTTGGCGGGCAGGGGCCAGAGAAAGAAAGCAAAAGAAAGGCTGCATAATTATTTGTCCATAGAAAAAAAGCAAACAGTAACAGAAACAAATACATTTACATTAACTCCAGAGTTCAGTTACTCCTGAAGTTGTTTGATAGATCGAATAATTCAAAACATTCACATTCATGATGAAAAAAGAATCTAGTAGATCCTTCTCACTACTGTGGAGCCCATGTGGACTCACAGAGATCCTCTCAGCCAGGGCAGGACCGCCCTGTGTTTGCAAGGCGGTAACTCTTTGCAGGAGGAGACAGCCTCGCCTTTCTCCCCGAGAAAAGCTGGTGGTTTCCAACTGCTGACCCTGTGGGTAGCACCCCAGCACGGAACCCCCTCCTTCACCAGGACTGCTATACCAGAAGGCTATAGCAGCAAAGGGATAGCGGGGCGAGTAAAAAAAAAGTAAAAATTCTTTCTGTTCTCCTTTAATCCTTGCTAGCTTGTAGAATAGTCAGTATTCTGGAAACACCAGTTTTTGCTGGTGATGACAGTCACATAGCTGTCTTCTGCAGGGACTTTTTGAGTGGAC